GCATTCGAACTGTTGGGTAAAAAGGGTGACTCGTTTTCATAAAATGTATTGTTGCGTAAGAAACATTGACAAATGACATTAAGATACAGTGGACGCTTTTTACACAAGGTTGATTGTTACGCATACGGTTGGTTTGGGTTTTCAAAGAAGTGGGAAGATAGTGGAAAATGCGACTTCTCAGGGGTGCGACATGGCAGGATCTTGACTGTAGTAGTTTACTGAANGCACACTATTCACAAATAATTGAATTAAAGGCGAATGATCAATCGATCCTGATTGGTTTGTGGCGAGTCAGCCCGTAAACTTCAAAGAAGTCCTGACTTAGTGGGAGGCTTTCGATTGGAATTAACCAATTGTCATCTGTCTCCCTTCGTTGCTGCCGGGTGAAATGAACTGACTGATTATCACCGAAGAAGACATCTGAACAAATGTGAATTGGCCTGTTTCATACGGTTTGGGACACAATATGGGTTTGTTGTGAGCGATAGATAATACCTCGAGTATCCTTAGTCAGCGTTTGTTGCAATGACGCACGAAAACCGAGAATGCGTTGGAAGGGTCTATCTTGTAACCACCTTCGACACAATGCCGTGCGATGGCGGAGGTCGGCCATTGTGGAATACTTATGATATTCAGAGTATGACCTGTTGACCAACCGTGTGATGATGGCACAGATTCATTGAACAATGGAACTTTACTGATCATTCGAAAGATTTAAGCTGTTCTATCAGGTATTGTGATCGCTAGTAGTATGTTACGCCCTATGTCGTAGCTGGATCACTCGATGGATCAATAAATGGACTCGGTTGATGCTCAGTGTTTGTCGGACCCGTATTTGAGAGCAAAGGTTCAACCATATAGCGCGCAAGTTCCGGCGTATGACTGTCACATCAGATTACCGAGTCGAACATGCGCCAGGTTTTTGTTGAACACCATAACACTTGCGATTATAGGGTTTCAAGTTAAATCAATATCTGTCTCATGCAGTCAACGGTGAATTTTTATCAGTTCATGAAAATAACGATGAAGAGAATAGCTCAACCTTATTGCTCAGAAAGGTCTCGGGAAAAAGAAAAGTGAACAAAAATAAAATTTAGCACAAAAATTCATCTCGAAATTGATAGTACTAATACCTGGGAAACGTAGTTACCCAGATGTAACGGATGCGATTATTCAGCAAAATAACTTTGAGGAATTAACTGTGTTATGTCACAGGTCAGGCCACTGTGAGTCGTGATTATGGTGGAGTTCGTTTCTCTCCACGAATCGATTACGCAGTACATATATGCGGGCGTATCTTGACAAAGCCGGACGGTAATCTGTGCAGCAAACAGTAAACACTAAATTTCTTCCATTTGGTCCATAACCTATGAGCATGTGCACGCATGCGCGTTTTTTACGACTTCAACAGTACGTCGGTTTTTGCATCTGGTCTATCAATACACCCATCTACGTCAAACCAAGTGATAACTGCATTGATCAATACAGGTGAATTCAAGTCTCTCAAATATGGCACAGTTTGGCAACCAAAAACGGTGTCATACTTTAAAGACTGTTGAACCTGTTTGCCACCCTCCACACCTTCCACCCTAACAGTCTGTCTAGCCACCTCTCCCTCAAGTGTCATTGTCATCAGACATGCACTTTTCGTCCGTTCCATTTCTTCATTTGCCCACCACACTCGGTTACCNCCCCCCCCCCCTTCTCTTTCTCGTGATCGTTGTCCCTGAACTAGATATGGTCGGACTCACCCTGACCTATTACTACCGTATGGAGTTGCCTATTCTCATTCGGATTGGTCCTCTGTCTCACCCATGCGTCGCCCTGTCCCATGTGCACTTTGACGTTATTTTACTTATCGCCTGTTTGTTTGACGGAGTGGTGAACTCCCTCGTTTGCGTCATAGTTCTCGATTGGCATTATTTATTTCACTGGTTCAGGCATACCCCCGATTTGAGGTGTGTTGTTTAAGTAATTGTAACGCTTAATATTTACAGTACCGCATACTTATTCGCTATTGTTTGTTGGAGCTGAATAAACCTCCAAAACACTTGGACTAGGCTTCTGAGGTTGCGCGTCACTCTANGTCACTCTATTTTGGCCTGGATAATCAATTGGATTTAAGAGACTCCTTTTACAAACCGGACACAATCAGTAGTATATTTGACAGCAGCGAAAAACGAACACTAACTTACGGAAATTCTCTAACGGCCAATCGACGGGGATCCGAAATTAACACAAGAACAATAATACCCAATAATTACCAGTTTCTTTTAGACCCGGCGCCCGGTGTGTTTTCTCACTGAGTCCCACAATAAAACATCATTCTCATGACCTCATTTACAGACAGTTTCATTCTATTATGTACCGGATCAGTAGCCACCACTGAGCTGAGGAAAACCCCATACCTAGGTAACAAAGATATTAAACAAGTTTCGGAACCGGGGAAGCAGCTCTTGAAGTGTTTCTTTTCGCGACTAATGGAGATTAAAAGTTTGAATATTCCCATGATAGCATTGAGTAAAAAGAGTCGATGAGTGAACAACTGTTACATATCATAAGGTGGAAAAAACTCTTACAAAATGATAGCTATTGGTTTATTTTAAGGTTATTAATCGGAGGCAGAGAGTAGAGGATGTTTGTGTGTATGTTTGTGTGCGTGTAAGAATCTTTCACTGTATCTGTGGTGCATGTTGCGTAAGTCGTACGGTAAGGCATTTGTTTCAACGCGTTATGGAGCACCAACCGCTACGGTTAAGTCAGGAAAATACCGGCTGTATCTCAAGGGCGATCTTGGGGTATCTTGTCGAAATCGAGCACAAGATTGAACCGGAGAATGCTTTCGATGTTGTTTATCGCATCCGGAAGGTGGTGGCCTGGTTATAACGTCACCAAATTATCACCCCTGGGATGTGTTCAAATCCCACCACCGCCGCCTGGTTTTCTTTATTGTGTGTTGACTGGTAGCCCTTTGATTGGCCGCTTCCTCCTTCCTGAAAAGTGTATCTTTATACATTCAACAGAAGGAGGTAAAATGAAAAAAATGAAGAGAAAAAAAAGAAAAGAATCGTTCGAACGCGGCCCGAGTTTGGACACCAGCTATGGCCGAGGCGATCGCCATTCGCTTACTAGGCTCCAGCCTGTGTCCAGAAAAACTGGTCCAGGCGCTCCAATTGCCTTAGCCGGGTGTGAAAACCAAGAATGAACATGACGTGTCACTTGACCCCGTTGGGAGAAGATGACATCAATTAACACACTAAACACAGACGCACACACACATACACATCCTCCACTCTCTACCTCCGATTAATGACCTTAAATTGAGCCAACGTCTATCACTATGTAAGGATTTCTCACTATATGATAAGTAAGATCACGATTAGAACTATCCGAAAACAACTATGGAAACT